CTTGAGAGTCGGGGTGCCGCCGTAGGCCGCCAGCAGGTCGTCATCGTCATGTTGATCATCGTGGTCGTCACTGGGCTAGAGTTAAGGATCATCAAGGAGACTTCAACACTGAGGTGAGACAGGTAGTGATCCACACACTGTACTCATCACACGTACCACACACTGGCCTAGGCTGTGGGGCCACGTGGAGGCCACTTAGGCCACACTACACTAACAACAGTGAGAGCGAGTCAGGTTGGCCATAGTGGATGTGGAAGCGGCCACCCCAACAGCGAAGGCCACCAACGAGCGGGGGCGGCGAGTTCAGCGTCGGTGGGTGGGTGGGCTGCTGAGCCAGCGCGAAGGACGGGTGGGCGGCTGGCAGGAGGCGGCGGTGGAGCGGCCGCGGTGCGTGTGGTGGTAGCGTGGTGACTGGTGGCGCGGGACTGGCGCGGCAGTGGCCGGCGTGGGTTCCCCTCCCCCCAACACACCCCCCCCTCATTCACCCCGCCAGGAAATCCTCCACGCCGTCGTGAAGACGCCACGCGCACCCGGCCCACCACCCACCTCCCTCACCCATCCGGCCCACCTCCCACACCCACCCAGTTCACTATCATCCACTTCCCTCACCCACCCGGTTCACCATCACCCACTTACTCGCCCAACCCCCACTATCTCCCTACCACACACGAACCCACCATCACCTACTTCCCTCCCTCACACGACCCACCATCACCTACCTCCCTCCCTCACACGACCCACCATCACCCACCTCCCTCCCTCACACGACCCACCATCACCCGCCTCCCTCCCTCACACGACCCACCATCACCCACCCACCTCCTCATTAATTTTAACACCTCACCATCTGGTCCAGCAGCCCCTCCCACACGGCTCACACACTACCAACACCTCCCACACGGCTCACTACCAACACCCCACACTTAGCTCACTATCAGTCAACACCTCCCACACGGCTTCCACTACCAACACCCTCCCACACTTAGCTCACTACTAACACCTCCTCCATTACCCACCCGGCTCAGCACACCACCACCTCCCTCCATCGCATACCTGATCCACCACCACTTCTCATCCAGCCCACCACCACCTCACGCACCTGGCCACCACCACCTCTCATCCACAGCCCACCACCACCCCCCCACCCAGCCCCACCACCACCCTCCACCCAGCCCACCACCACTGCCCTCACGCCCAGTCCACCACGGTCATCCCTCACCAAGCACATGTCCATCATCTCACCTGGGCCACTGAGGTCCGAGCCTCACCCGGCCACCGAGGTCCACCTCACCCGGCCACCAAGGTCCATCTCTCACCCGAGCCACTGAGGTCCATCTCCTCACCTGAGCCACTGAGGTCCATCTCCGCCACCGAGGTCCATTCTCACTGAGGTCCATCTCCTCACCCGCCACTGAGGTCCATCTCTCACCTGGGCCACTGAGGTCCATCTCCTCACCCGAGCCACTAAGGGCCATCTCCCCACCTGAGTCATCAAGGGGTTCATCTCTCACCCGGGCCACCGAGGTCCATCTCCCTCACCCGGGCCACCAAGGTCCATCTCCCTCACCTGGATCACTACCACACCTGCTACACCCCGCCTCTACATCCCGTACACGACGGTAAAATTGTAGGAGCGTGTGCCCTGGTGAGTGGGTTACGTCTGTGTTGGGTGGCGGTGAGAGGACCAATCCCTCCCCCCTTTCCTCCTCAACCTCCCCCACCCTGGCCGGGGCCACGCACGCACGCACCGCCCCGGGACAACACAGAGCCTCCACCTCCTTTCCTCCACTGCACCTCCGCCACTCCACACTCCATCCACAGTCAGGTGGAGGAGCAGAAGACGGATGGTGTGGGTGGGGCTAAAGCCAGACCACGCTACATCCACCATCCCCTGCCTTCTACACACCTAACCCACCAGGCTACACCCAGTGAAGGTGTAGAGCGGAATGAGTGGGTTACGCCTCTGCTCCACTCCACTACCAGCTAAAATACCATAGTCCCACCAGTCCCGCCCACCACCACAACCTGCACCTTACTACCTCTACCCTCCACCACCACCTCTACCAGCCACTCCTTCCAATCTCCCCTACCTCACCCTCCTTCACCACCCCTACTCTCACCTACACTTCCACCACACCCCAATGTTCTTATCCTTCCTCTCCCTCCACATCCTCCCCCATCTCCCTTTATTTCCTTGCGCTTTCCTTCTCCCCCTCACCCCAACCTAGACAGACACTTCCCTCACCTCCAGTCGAGCAGTGCGAGGCTCATGGATCCATTTTAAACCCCCGAAATAGAACTAATTCCGCCTTCTAGACCGCAACATTCCAAATGGCTCTCACCTCTGCCACCTTGCCTGAAACAGAATTTACTAGTCTAAATTATCCCCTCCCCCTCTCTCCTACAGGCACGACCGACATTTCCCTAGAATATAGTTTTCATGACTCCAGTCGTTGTTGTATTTTTACTTCATAACGATAGCTCAAACCTCCCATTCCAGTCGCCAACTTCAAAGGAAAGCGTAAAACAAATTTGAGTGCGGGTATTTACAGAGGAATCTGGCAGTGTCTTGCAGTCAGGTACGATGATGTTGCCCAGTAATTGTCCCAATCCTTAGTCCACACCATTTCCGTCCTCTTTTATCATACAATCCCGAGTAAAGTAAATTCTCCGGGTTTTTTAAATATAACACTGCCAATCGAAATTTTATTCCGGGAAAAAAAGGATTGAGGAAAATAAAGGTTGTGATCGTACAAGTCACCTCGGAGTTGGGCCCGCCATCTTGGTCAAAAGTTGTCGGTGGCGGGAGAAAAAATAGTCACGGCGGCGAAGTGTTGACGCGTCCCCGGCCGCTCCTCCTCCTCCCCCTTAGCCCGGGGCAAGACTCAAATATTCGAACGTTAATTGTCTTATAACCGAAAATAAGAGAGATCATCCAGTTACGGTACCGTCTCGGTGTAATGGCGAGTACATTCTGGATAACCACCAATGTTTTACAACATACAAAACTCGGCGAGACGTATTCTCTCTCTTATTTGTAGTTACAGGAAAATTTAACTTGAGAATAAATCCCAATACTGTACTATGATTCGTAATTTTTTCCCGAAATTAAAGGCGAGAATACAGTTACAAGAACACTTCACGACATTCAAACGGCGGTGAAACTATTGTGACAACCATACTCTCTTGTCAACTAGCGGGGAAAACCAACGACTGTGGAATCCGGATCCTTAGACGTGATTGCCCGCCAAAAATTAAACTTCCACATTATATTTCTTATCCATACATCCATAAATATGTCCTCGTGTCACGATATATCCACACATGCCCTAATGTTAAAATACAAACATCCACACAGCCTTGAGCATCTTCACACATCCACATGCCATGATGTACCCATATCACCACATACTGATAATCACTTATCACTGTATTTCTACATATTTTCACATCTCCATATCCACACAACCCTATCAACCACATCATATCCACACAACCCTATCAACCGCATAACCCATATCCACACAACCCAATCCACTGCATTACCCACATATCCACGCAAGCCAACCCACTGCATTACCCACATAATCAACATCTCCATATCCACATTATCAACATCTCCATATCCACACAACCCTATCTACCACATTCCCCACATCTCAATATCCACATTATCAACATCTTCATATCCACACAACCCTATCTACCAGATTACCCACATTGTAATATCCACATTATCAACATCTCCATATCCACACCCTATCTACCACATTACCCACATTGTAATATCCACATTATCAACATCTCCATATCCACACAATCCTATCCACCTCATTACCATTCCATATCCCAACCCTTATCAATGATCCACACTTCCCAGGTTATAGTACAGTAGATCTACATTTTTATCACACCTCCACATTGCAACATACATAACCAAAACACGGGAGAAGTAGTATCGCAAAATAAAGGGAAGCTACATCAACCACCCTTCTCTCCTGTAGTTCCCACATTCAAGAATTGTAAGAACTCACAATCGCACTTCCTCTAGTTATCTGAAACAGTGCAATCCATCACGATTGCATTAGTCAATTCGGTCACCACTGAAAAATACACATTATCATCTCCATATACATTGCATTTCTGAAACTATCCAAGAGCTTTTAGCCACCTTTCCATTCTTTGTCATTGCTTACTTCACCTACTGTATTCTCTTTCAATTCTTGGGCATGGTCTTTATACTTGTTCTACTCTTTCTAGGCTGGCCATCCCATTCATGCCCCACATTCAACAGTTGACCACATTTTTTCTTGCATCCTTCAATTCCTTGCAATCAATAACCACATTACCATGATCATTTCTCATGCACTTCTAAAAAAAAATTGTTTTTGTTTCTTCCCACTATTTGCCTGGCTATTCTGAAAACCTCTGTATTTGTGTATGCACTATTCTACATGTCCATGTTTCTTAGCCTTGTAAACCTATGCTGACCCAACACTTAGCCTCCGGCCACACCTTGTCAGTTGCACTCGGCAGAACATTCTTTAGTTTGGCATAGCCTCTCACTGGTTGTTTCCAGACCTCTGAACTCAACTTCAAATGTTTCTCTTGCATTTTGTTCCTTCAACTTCCACACGACCTTTCTTTGAACATAAACCTCCTTCTCACCTCTGCATATAGAAATGTCACACACAAGCAATCTATTATGCAAGGCACATTCTTCCCCTGTTATAACCTTTACAGCTCTAACAAGCTTCCTATATGATTTCCCAATGAGAAAGTAATTGGGGTTTTTGTTCCACCTGACATACATAATCACCTGATCACCCTCTTCTAAAAGTGTTGCATACAACCATGTCCATTGCATCCCCAAACTCAAGTACAGTACTGTACAAACATTAAGAAACACAACAATACTGTACAACAATATCATACAGATAAGAATTGATTTTAGCCTGCTGTAAACTGCAGTTACGAAGTTTTCTTTAAGTGCCTATCTGAACCATTTTATTTAGTACTTATTAGGTACGGGTATTGTACCTTTGTGTACAGTACTGTATTTCATTTTAT